AAGAAAGTAAAACAATAAACAAACAACACTGAAAAGATAAAAAAGAAATAAAAACAGGCAGCAAACAACAAAAAAAGGAGATATCTAAAAAGAGAAATGTGGGACAGTAAATTGGAGCTATAGGTCAGAAAATAAAAGGTAGAAGGAAAAAACCTTAGAAAAGCAACAGGTAGAGGACATAGATAAAGTAGAGAGTGGTAATGAAAAGTTCAGTAGGATAAAAAAGAAGAGTGGAAATGAGAAACTGAAGAAAAGGAAAACACTCAAGGGGATGGATGGATGGAGAAGAAAGAATAAACCAACACAAACAACAAAACAATGAAAGGAAAAAATAGACATAAAAAACAGTGCAACTGTTGGCCCCAGAGAGAAAATTCTGCAGGCTTTTGCCAGTCAAGGTGTTAATGAAGTGAGTAGGAAGGATTTGGCAGTGGAGCTCCCCATCCTAAATGGAGTTCCTGTTGATCTAGGTGTTACCTATATGTTCATGGCATTCAATCCAGAAGTAGTTCATGGAGACACTTGATAATTTCAGTGTAAGTACCACAGGACAACTGAGGACAGGATTACTGGTTATGAGGGTTTCTCTTAGAATAATGCAGGTCTGATGACTTTGTGGGTTTTGTAGGTCTGAAACTAGGTACCAAAATGGCAGACCCCCGCCTCACACTGGCATGGCTCACAAAAATGTGGCTCTGAACTCCCGTAGAGCATGGTCTGTGCTGGGGGTAGATTATCACCAGGAGAGTGTGGAGGAAAAGAAGGAAACACACCTTTTCTGTTTCTTATGTGTATTTGCTTTGCCAGGCTACCTTCTGTCACCAAAGCTGCTCATAATAATTCAAGATGATCATGCCTCATAAGCCTTTCATCAGTCAGTTTCTGGTTGATGTTCAACTAGTTCAAGTGGTAGCATATGATCAAGAATCAGTGGTACAGAAGGCATTGGTGAAAAACAAGGCTCCAGGAATTGATGGGATACAAATTGAAATCTTTCAACAAACAGATGCAGCCCTGGATATGTTCACTTGTCCGTGTAGAGATATTTGGAAGACGGCTACCTGGCAAACTGATTGGAAGAGATCCATATTTTTGTCCATTCCAAAGTGAAGTAACCCAGTGGAATGCAGGAATCAGTGAACAGTATCATTAATATCACATGCATGTACAATTTTGATGAAGATAATTCAACAATGTAGGAGTGGGGATGTCATTGTTAATGTCAGATGGATCTTGGCTGAAAGCAGCAAATACCAGAAAGGTGTTATTTTCTGGTTTATTGACTATGCAAAGGCTTTGTTTTTTACTGTGTGGATCATTGAAAACGATGGATAACATCGCAAAGAATGCACAGTCCAGAACACTTACTTGTGCTCATGAAGAACCTGTACATATACCAAGAGGCAGTTGTTAGAATAGGGCAAGGGATTATTGTATGGTATAAAATCAAGAGGTGTGTGCTATAGGGTTGTATCCTTTCACCATACTTAATCAGTATGCTGAGTTAATAATCTAAGAAGCTGGATTATATGAACAATGTGGCATCACAATTGGAGAAAGACTCGTTAAACAATCTGCAATATACAGATGATACAACTTTGCTTGCTAGAAGTGAAAAGAAATTGAAATACTTATTGTTAGGTACCATCCTGTCGGTACCAACTCATAACAACCTTATGCATAACAGAACAAAACATTGCTCAGTCCTGCACCATCCTCACATTCTTTAAGCTTGAGCCCATTGCTGCTGGCACTGTGCCAATCTATCTCATTGGTGGTCCAAGCATGATGTCCTTTTCCAGGTACTGACCCCTCCTAACAATATATTTGAAGTATGAGAGTTGAAGTCTGGCTAACCTGGCTTCTAAGGAGCATTTTGGCTGTACTTCTTCCAGCACAGATTGATTTGTTCCTCTGGCAGTCCATGGTACTGTTAACGTTCTCTTCCTACACCATAATTCAAGTGCATCAATTCTTCTCTGGTCTTCCTTATTTATTGTCCAACTGTCTCACATGCATATGAGGCTATTGGAAATACCATGGCTTGAGTCAGGCACATCTTAGTCCTGAAACTGACATCTTTGTGCTTAACACTTTAAAGAGGTCTTTTGCAACAGATTTTCCTGATGCAAAGTGTCATTTGATTTCTTGAATGCTGCTTCCTGAGCATTGATTGTGGACCCAAGGAAAATGAAGACTTTGACAAATCATTATTTTCTCCATTTATCATGTTGTTATTTATTGGCCCAGCATACTGAAAGCTGTAGTCTTAGATCTTCATCACTTGTCTGTCAGTTTGTCATGCTGAGGTAGCTTGTGAGTTGCTGTGATTCTGGAAGCTATGTCACTAGTACTTTAAATACCAGTAGGGTCACCATGGTGAACAGTTTTCAGCTGAGCTTCCAGACTAAGTGAGACTAGGAAGAATATTTAATCACTGAAAACCTTATGAGTAGCAGTGTAACACTGTCAGCACCAGAATGGTGGTGGTGGTTATGTGCCATGGAGTTGGTTCCGACTCATAACGATCCTGTTCAGGGTTTCTGAGGCTCTAAATCTTTATGGGAGCAGAAAGTCTCATCTTTCTCCCACGGAACAGCTGGTAGTTTTGAACTGCTGAACCTGAAGTTAGCAGCTTGATTCATAACCACTACTCTACCAGAGCTCCTTCTATTGAATATTAAACATGATGAAGAGCACCAGAAGAGTGGGATATTGTATCACTTGGCACAGTGGCAGCAGCTATGGGCTCAAGTGTAGCAATGATTGTGAGGTTGGCACAGGTCTAGGCAGTGTTTCATTAAATTGTGCATAGGGTCGCTATGAGTTGGTATGGACTCTACAGCACCTAATAACAACAACCACAGCAACAACATAGAGATCAAAGTTTATTAATGGTTGCTATGGCTACGGTGGGATTGGGAAAAGGGGGAAAGTTTTGTTGTTGTTAGATCTCATGGAGTCTTTTCAGACTCATAGTGACTCTGTATGGGGTTTTAGAGACTTCAAGTCTCAGCAGAGCAGAAAGCCCTGTCTTTCTCCCTTTGAGCCACTGGTGGGCTCAAACTGCTCACCTTTTAGTTCATAGCCTAGTGCTTATTGTATGGAGCCATTGAATGCCCAGTGTGGAAGGTTAAAGGGATGAAAATGTTTCTTTGATTTAAGGGTAGGGTTGTTGTAATTATCAATCAGTTTTATACCTGAAGAAGTGAATTGCTAAAAGTTGTATATTAGACATAATTGTTGTTGCTAAGTACTGTGGATTCAGTTCCAGCTCATAGCAACCCTGCACAGGGTTTCTGAGACTGTAAATCTTTACAGGAGCAGAAAGCCTTATCTTTCTTCCGTGGAACAGCTGGTAGTTTCAAACTGCCAACCTTGAGGTTAGCAACCGGATTTGTAGCCACTATGCTACCAGAGCTCCTTACAATAGAAATGTTTAGGGTCATCATTTCAGGGGACTTCCTTGTTAATTGGCCTAGTAACATGTTTAGTGTTTCTGTACTATGCTAGTTGGGTAGTGCATGGGTTCTTACATGCTTGCAAGCAGCCATCCAAGGCACAATTGGTCTCTTTTTCTGGAGCAGCAGAGAAAGAAAGAGAGTCGTAAGTAGAAAGCGGGTATAGAATGTGTTGCTAATTGCCTCCATGAGCAACTTCCTTTTTGCCATGAGACCAGAGGAAGAATATAGTGCCCAGCTACCTTTACTAAATATTTTCATCAAAGATTCCATCGAAGAATCCTGATCCAAAGGGGAGAAATGTAGAACAGATTTTCAAGTTCTCATGAACTCTGAGGTTTCATGTACCCTGCCTTGTGATAATCTTTAAACCTTAAAACCAAACAATAGTTTAGCTTAATTAGTAAATACAACACAAAGAAAGTTGGCTTTGAATTTTAAGCTACTTAAAGAACTTTCTGTATGTATCCAAAGGAGCCATGGTTACACACTGGATTGATTATGTGTTGGGCTTATATCTAGAAAGATTGTTAGTTTGAGCCCACCAGCTGTTCTGTGGGATAAAGATGAGGCTGTGTACTTCTGTAAAGATTTACAGCCTTGTAAATCCTGTGGAGTAATTCTCCTCTGTCCTATGTGAGTCTACACTGACTTGTTGGTAGTAGCGGATGTACTGGATTCAATTGATAATAGGAACTCTAAAGATTCGATAGGAACAAAGTGGATGAGAGTGATTGCACAACTCAAGAATTTAACCAGTTTCCCAAAATGGCATCTGTCGAAATCGGTGTATGTTTTACTTTAAGTATTTTCTCAGCAAGTTACTAGAAGGAAAATTTTAAGATGAGAAGAGATGATGGCTTTTACTTTTAAACAGAAGCCCCGTAAGTTAAACAGATTATTTGTTTTTTCCTGATTAAAGGGGAAAGTGTGTTAATTACTATTCTCGATTCCTGTTTTCCCAGTCATTCCTCTTCCTTATACAATCTGTCCATCCCCATGGAAACATTCCCAAGGGAAGGCAATTTTAGAACCATTAATCAATCCAATAGTTTTTATTTCTCTTGCATTTACCACCTTTGTATCTTCCTAAACAAAAATACAGAAATGTGGTTATTGCTGTACTTTAAAAAGTAGAATCCATTTAAATAAATATAACAATCCTTTTTCACAGGATTGAAAACTAGCTGTATATGTGCAAGACATTTTTTTACATTATAACTTATTGTATGTATAGATTCATATGCTCAGAAGTAAATTCATATGTGGTCACCTGTGATGTACTTCCCATAGATGGAGAGCCACTGATGTATTCCAACAACTGCCTTCATTTAATAGATGAAGAAACTTAGGTTCAGAATGTAAAGAGGTTTTTCCATAGTTAAAGTTCCATAATGACAGCTGTAACTAGAATGTAGTGTCATCTGACTAGTATTTTCATGTGCCTGGATGTTTCTGAATTTTTCTTTTGAAATAAAGTTTAATGAACTGGAAGTCTAACATCTGAAATTAAAAATCTGAATCTAAATTTATTTCCAGGTCTTTGAAGAAACTGGTTTTGATATCAAAGACTATATATGTAAGGATGATTACATTGAACTTCGAATCAATGACCAGCTTGCTCGTTTGTACATTATTCCAGGAGTTCCAAAAGATACAAAATTTAACCCAAAAACAAGAAGAGAAATTCGGGTATGTAACAGTTAGAAGTATTTATACATTTGCTAGATAGATGAAGTAGCACATTGTTTTTAGAAACTCTCTAATAATAATGAACTATATGAACTTTTCCTTTATATTTCAGAACATTGAGTGGTTCTCCATTGAAAAATTGCCCTGTCATAGAAATGATATGACCCCAAAATCCAAACTTGGTTTGGCACCTAACAAATTTTTTATGGCCATTCCATTTATCAGGTACATTCATGTTTTTTGTAATACTACAATAACAATGATTTTGCTGATTACTTGGCATAGCCAAGTTTTAAAAGTGAATGCTTAATCTTTCCAGACCTTTAAGAGACTGGCTTTCTCGAAGATTTGGAGATTCTTCAGACAGTGACAATGGATTTTCCTCAGCTGGCAGCACACCAGCAAAACCCACTGTGGAAAAATTAAGGTAAAGAAACACATTCATGGAATTTTGACTTTCTGATAGTCTTTAAGGCTATATAATTTTTATTTCCAAAGTTTACAAAGGTGTAGGATTCCTTTATACAGATACTGTTTAGTTATTAGTATTTTTTTTTTAACCCTAAGAGATTTGATGAGTTGGAAAAGATTAATTGAAGTCTAAGGGAGCTTCGGACACATTTAAAAATACTACATTCAAGAGACTATCAATTTTTTAGGTAGAACACTAGAAAAAAGAGTCATATGTTGGCAGATGTATGTGGGTGCTTTTTAAATGGTTACTTCTCTGTTCTTATATCCAGTTTGATAGATAAGTGAATTTCTGTGGATAATTGAATGTATGACAGTCTGATTTTGTATAGTGGAGATGTTGTTGTTGTTGTTAAGTGCCGTCGAGTCGGTTCCGACCCATAGCGACCCTGTACAGGGTTTCCGAGGGTGTAAATCTTTACGGGAGTAGAAAGCCTCATCTTTCTCCCGCGGAGCAGCTGGTAGTTTCGAACCGCTGACCTTAAGGTTCGCAGCCCGATTCGTAACCACTACGCTACCAGAGCTCCTGACATAGTGGAGATACTGACATATAATTTGTTAGTCAACATGATGGACTGTGAAGACTTCCTTCAGCTTGTTTTGTTTTGTATTTACTTTGCCTAGCATAGTGTGTATGTAATTATTTTTAACTGCCACTGAGTTGGTCTCCAACTTATAGAGACCACCCTATTCACATGAAAAGAAATGCTTGCTGCCTGGTCCTACACATCCCATGATTTGTTGTGTATTGAACCATTAATGTTTTATTGTGAATTATGTGATAGTTTACATGGGAGAAAATTAGCTTTACATTCATCCTATCGTATATCATTTTATTGCCATGGTTACAATCCCCTTCATGCACCATCAGCCAACCAAAGGGTATACCCGGCAAGCCTCCTCACCTTGTCAGCACACTGCCCCTCTCCCTCTCTGGGTCTAGAGTCCCTAGCCACTCTATCTCCCCATGTCATTGTCTCTGCCTCCATCTCTGCTATCACTGTTTCTCTGGGTAGGGTCCCACACTCCACTTTTCACCCTTGATGGTCCCAGGGACCTCCACTCCTGGACTGCAAAGTCAATCACTCCCATCTTTTGTTACAAAGTGTCTACTTTTACATTTCCAACCCTCACAGTCAGTCATGATAACAATTATTCACTATTTTACCACAAGAGACCTATTCCCATCTCCTTTTATCAGCCCCGCCCAGACAGAATGGAAACTACTCAGTGGAGATTGTACCTTCCTCCACACTCTCTAGATATAGGTTCAATCTTGAAAGCCTGTAATCCAGTCACTTCTTGCCTTTGTAGCTCCCCCATTTTGGGTAGCCAATTTCCAAGTTGCCCATTCCTGTCTACTCTGTATATGGAGGGGATGGGAATGATCCTCGCTTTAAAGAATTATTCCCTCTTTTGAGCTACTGTCTCCATAGGTGTAGGTCAAGTTCATAAAATTGTATCAGATTACTTGTTTTTTCCTTTTCTTTCTTCTTCTAGTTTAGCTCTGATTACCCAGTCACTGAAGACAGATCAAGTGGGTATTATCTGCAAGTGTGAGTGTTCTTGAGCATATACTCTCTCTGCTTATCAGCTAGACGCTTCACTCTCCACTCTAGTCCTCTGTGGCTATGTCACTGACTCTGGGCCCAAGAGTCCCTAGGTCTTGCCACACTGCTGGCCAACCAGGTCTCTACCTGGGTTCACAGAAATCTATTGAACATTGTAGGGCTTAGCTTGCAGCTTCATTGCTGTTTTTCCCTCACTTCCCATTATCAGTGATGAATGTGGTCACCAATCAGAGCACATATCTGCTCCTCTATTCCCATTGAGTCTTAGTCTTGGAAGGTGGTTTGCTCTGAGGGGACCTAACCGCTAGCCTTGATGTCTCCTGGGCGAGCAACTTGCTTCTTCTTGTAGTAATCAGTTGAACTGCCATTATTGTTTTGTGTTTTTCCTGTCAGTTTTTCTTTTAAGAAGAATCTTATGTTCTTCTAGCCACTCCAGGCTGGTCTGCTTGTCCTTTCAAGTGGAAATTTCCCAACTCAGAAAATTCTGGATGGGGTTCAGGATTCCACCTATGTTCTTATTTAATGCAGAGGCTCCACAGGAAACATCCTTCACTGGACACTTTGTAGCCCCATTTTAGGTGTTTCAATCAGTTATAGGCAGAAGACGGACTTAGAAGGTTTCTATGGTGATATTTATGGCTATTCCTTTCTCTCCCCCTCAAGTGTCTATTTTCTAATGGTATGCCAGGGAAACCAAGATTGAAAAGACAGCCAAGCATCTTAACATTATTT